TCTGTAAAATAATCAAGCTACACAATAAAACAGTCCGCATACGACGAAATGAAAGCTTAATTATTACCCTTTGAGACCCTAAAACAAAAGATTAGGTAATTTAAACTTTAAAATATTGGGAACAGTTTTTGAACTCGCGGATGCCCGAATTATGCTCAATGCTTTCACGTGCATTTCCTAATGCATAGGACTGAACTTAAATTGTTTTTTTAGTATTTTTGGGCCGTTGACTATGAATTTGAAGTCAGGTTTAAAAATTTCAAAATGTCGGATCCAATATGGCGGACACGAAAATTAAAAAATCGTTGGGTTTGTCATATAACTTGGTACTGGGGAGTTTTTGGGGTCGCTGATTACGAATTTAAAGTCAGATTTCAAAAATTCAAAATGGCGGATTCAAAATGTCGGACACGAAGATTAAAAATTGTTGGGTTTGCCATAAAACTTGGTACAGGGGAGTTTTTGGTGTCGCTAATTACAAATTTAACGTCAGATTTTAAAAATTTTAAATGGCGGACCTAATATGACGGACACAAAAATTAAAAATCTTTCTGATGGTTATGAAATTTTTGTTATTGAGAAATTTTTAGGGTTGCTGATTTTGAATATTTTGAATATTCTCCAGGACCAAATTTCATGAAAATTCGAACGACTTTTAATTTTTGTCTCCGCCATATTGTATTCACCATTTAAAATTTTTGAAATCTAACTTTAAATTCGTAATTAGCGACACCAGAAACTCCCTAAAATCATGTCTCATGACAATCCGAAAGATTCTCAATTTCTTTTGTCTGCCATATTGAATCCGCTATTTTAACTTTTTAAAATCTGACTTTATATTCGTAATCAGCGACCCTGAAAACTTTCGAATACCAAGTTTTATCAAAATACAAACTTTTAATTTTTATATCCGCAAAATTGAATCCGTCAGTAAAATTTTTTAAAATATGACGTTAAATTTGTAATCAGCGACCCCAAAAACTCCCCTGTACCAAGTTTTTTGGCAAACCCAACAATTTTTAATTTTTGTGTCCGCCATGTTGGATCCGCCATTTTGAATTTTTGAAACCTGACTTCAAATTCGTAGTCAACGGCCCAAAAATACTAAAAAAACAATTTAAGTTCAGTCCTATGCATTAGGAAATGCACGTGAAAGCATTGAGCATAATTCGGGCATCCGCGAGTTCAAAAACTGTTCCCAATATTTTAAAGTTTAAATTACCTAATCTTTTGTTTTAGGGTCTCAAAGGGTAATAATTAAGCTTTCATTTCGTCGTATGCGGACTGTTTTATTGTGTAGCTTGATTATTTTACAGACGTTCAAAAAGTGCCAAAAATGCAGTTTTTGACACCTTTAAACCTAAATTGCTCGAAAACTAGAGGCAATTTAGCATTTTCATGGCCAGATTTGGATTCTACGGACAAAATCCTATAAGAATCGGCTGTAACCCTTTGGGCACCATGAAATTCTTGAAATTTTGTTGGCCTGTGTTATATTTAAGGGGTTAGGGGTAGTCAGAATTTTCAAAAAATCAAATTTTTTTTTTTGCATTTTCGTTAAGTAAAATATCTTAAAAATAATCTCTGAAAATTTCAAGTTAATCCGATAATTCGTTTTTAAGTTATTCGACAAATAACAAAGAGAGCTCGGGCCTTTTAAAGCGCTCGGGAGCGCTTGCAGCTAGTGTCAGCTGCAAGAAATCGGCTTTTAGGGTTCTATTGTCATCGATGAACTTAGACTTGGGTATATGTAGTAGTACCTAAATTAATATGGCCCAGGAATAGATGACTCGGTGTAAGTAATTTAATAATTCGTTTTTTTGTACGTAAATCTAGTGTGAAACTAAACGCGTTTTTCTCAAAACTATGTTTTTTGAACTGGTGACAACTATAACTCGAAAACCGCTCAGTCGATTTTAATGAAATTTATACAGCTTTTAGAATACATAATAAACTCGGGCCTGATCGAAGGATTTTTTTTTTTTGAAAAATTTCGATTTTTTAAGACCAATTAACTGTTGATTTTTTCCCAAAAATCTAGACAAAAATTTCCTGAGGCCGCCATTTTGTTAATTTTTGAAAAAAAAAAATCCTTCGATCAGGCCCAGGATTATTTATTTATAAAACTAATTTTTTTTATCCGATTGATTTCTGATTAATCTCCAAGGACTTATGATTGTCACCGCAAGGACCTTTTTTTGGAACTGGGTTAACACAAACAGCTGTAACTTCGGAAATAAAAATTTTTTTTTTTTTAAATTTTCGTGACTTCAAGTCAAAACATTGTTTAATAATACCATATTACTACTTTTGTAAAATAAAATTATTTAATAGCAAAAAAAAATACTGAAAATTCTCATTTTTTCGTGCCTCTGACTACCCCTAACCCCTTAAGTATTTTTTAATAATCTGAAAATAATGAAAAAAATTTATTTAAAAATGTATTTAAGGTAAAATATTTATCACTTTTGAAAGATAATTTTTTTATTGCATAACGTTAGAAATCACTTTTTGTCATTATAAAAGCTATTCTGTTAGAAAGAAAATGGGCAATAAACCACGTAGGCGCGCATCACTTTATATTCACCATCAACTCATTTTTATATCGTTTTATTTTTTTTCGCTTAACGTAAAGCTGTTCTCACACATTTTACAGACCCCTTTTATATATATATATATAGAAATCGAACCTTTTGATAAACTGGATAAATTGGCCTGACGCAACACAAGCGTAAAACGATTACGTCGAGTGCCTTTATAGAAAGACGCTCAATCGAGACGTTTCCCTTTAATGTTGAGATGAATTCAAAATCTATTTTAAGCAAATTTGTTATTTCCATTCGTGATAAATAGAGTGAGAATATGTGTTATATTTAAATATTATATAAATTTTAAATCATATAAGATACAATTTTTATATTATTTGTTTTTTCATTTGGATCCCCGTACAGAAATTGAAATATAGCTGTACTGATTTATCAGGGCCTTGTAATTTTTTCTTTAAATTTATCTATTTTGTGAGATTATTTTAAGTTAATGACGCAGTTATTACAATTATTTAATTTCTAATTTTTATTTTGTTTAAAATTATTACATTATATAGTATATAAAATACTTAATAATTTTGAAAAATCTAGCACTCATAAGGGGGATCGTACCCAGGACCTTTAAGACGCGGGCCATGTACTCAGACCTCACAGCTACGTTGACTTACTGATATTTTACCTTTTACCTTCTTTAATATTAAGAGTGTACTATCTTCTTTTTGTGATAAAAAAATAACTACATTATTTTTACATCTAATAATAGTTTATAGTCCTTTTAAATAATTATTAAAAAAAAATTAATTATAATTAGTAATAATAAAAAAATTACTACAACATTTGTATAAAATGATCGTTTTTGGTCAATAATTTTCTTTACAAAAAGTAATTTTAAAAACTTAGTTTATTTACATATTTTTCAAACATGGAAAACTGGGGAGGCCCTAACCATAGCCCTATTTTAAATAGGACAAAGTGAATCAATTTTTTTTCTTAATTATTTGAATTATAAAAATTTTTCAACAATTTTTTTTCCAAAACTAAGCTTATAACATTTTTTTTTGTTCCTAAAGGGAAACGATGTATATAAAATATACTAAAAAAAAAGTGCGTGCATAATTTTTTTAAAAGCGCATGAAATTTTATGAATTTTTTGAATTGCCTCGATTTCTATACGATTTCTTTTCTTTTTATTGAGATTTTTGTGTGTGGAAATCTTTTTTAATTAGAATTGATGAAGTTGTAAAAGTATTCTTAGATGCAGCAGCATCTTTTGTTTTTAGTGGGAACTTTTAACTGGATTTTCCAGGAGTTAACAAAGTTTTAACTCTCCTTATTTCCACTTCTTATATACATCTCAACATTGTTTTTTCAGATTAAATCGGAAGTTTGTTTAAATTACCCTTAATTATTATCTCGTCAAAGTGAATATTACAAACCATAAATAATAATAAGATTTGTGGTAGAGTTTAAAGAAATTAATGTGGAAAAAATTAAACTTTAGCGTTTTTTTTTTGTTTCTCTGGATTAGAGAAAGGAAAAATTTTGTTCATAACCGCTTTTATGAAGATTTTGAATAAACGTGATTTTTTTTTCATTCAAAGTAATTTTCATTTACCGATCGGTAAAATAGAAAACTGTCCGAAAACTGTCGGTAATATAGAAATCTATCTACAATTTTTTTAGCCAAATTAAAAAAAAAATAATTGTGGCACTTAAATTAGTCCTCAAATAAATGAATGCTATAAAAAATTTAAAAATACTATTCACAATTTTTGAGAAAAAACAGTTTATTCCAAAAATTTTAATTTCCTCTAGATTCTACGCGGTAAGATGTCACATATTATGTAAAAATTTCACTTAAAATGAAAAGGAAGATTGAAATGTAATGAACGTAGTAAAAATTCTTCTTAATTTCCTCTTTTTCTTGTGAAAAAAGAAGAAAATACAAAGTAACGATAAAAAAAATGAGATGAAGATTTTGAATAAACGTGATTTTTTTTTCATTCAAAGTAATTTTCATTTACCGATCGGTAAAATAGAAAACTTTCCGAAAACTGTCGGTAATATAGAAATCTATCTACAAATTTTTTAGCGAAATTAAAAAAAATAATTGTGGCACTTAAATTAGTTCTCAAATAAATGAATGCTATAAAAAATTTTAAAATACCATTCACAATTTTTGAGAAAAAACAGTTTATTCCAAAATTTTTAATTTCCTCTAGATTCTACGCGGTAAGATGTCACATATTATGTAAAAATTTCACTTAAAATGAAAAGGAAGATTGAAATGTAATGAACGTAATAAAAATTCTTCTTAATTTCCTCTTTTTCTTGTAAAAAAAAGAAGAAGAAAATACAAAGTAACGATAAAAAAAATAAGATGAATCTAGATGTTAAAAAAAAAGTTTAACGACATTGATTAAAGAGAAATTTTTTTTTTTTTTAATTTCACAGGAAGAATGCTGCGCCCTGGAGAAGGAAGTTGAAGAAAGGGTGAGCAATCTCGTGAGTATGCTTCAGGCCCGGAAATCAAGACTGATTGAGGCAGCGAGGCAAACGAGGGAGGCCAGAGTGCGAGCATTAAGGGATCAGGTGACTCGATGTGCCACCCATCTGCAAACGACAACGGCCCTTCTCACCTTTTGCATCGAGGCGCTCAAGGAAACTGACAGCGCTGCCTTCCTTCAAATCGGCGGGATGCTTTCCGTGAGAGCAGCCACAGCAGCCAGTTCCTGGGGTGGCGCTGAGGGTGTTCAGGAAATTGCTCGACTTCCTCTTCTAGACCTCACTCTCGATGACAAACCACTACTACGAGCCATCGATCAGCTTACATTCGTTCAAATGAAACGTAAGTTTAATTCGACAAACTTTTTTACTCTCACATTGTCTATCAAGAAATAGATATCTCTCATCGTTTGTTTTGTCCACTATCTAATTTTGAATTTTTGAGGTTATGTTTACTGATTTTAATCTCAAATCGAGTGGGCTTCTTGATTTGAGAACTTAAAATTTTATTTTCAATTTTACAGTTATGTTCGCCCTCTTAACTCAGAAATTGACCTAGTTTTGAGGTTATGTTTGCTGATTTTTTAATCTTAAGCCAAGTACTCTCTTTTTGAGTATTTTTGCCTTGAACTTTGACCAAATTTTGAGGTTAAGTTAGAATCTGAAATCTAGGGGTCTCTTGTTTTGTGTCTTGTTAATGTTCAGGACCAAAATACTAATAAACCTGAAAACATAACCTCAAAATTAGGTCAATGTCTAACTCAAGAGACTGTTGGGTTTGAGGTTAAAAACATTGCGATTTGTTCGAAAAATATTTTTTTAAATCGACAAAATATGAAAAAAAAAATATTTTAAAAGATAAATGAAGTTTAATAGTGCCAATTTATATAGAAAATGTAATAATTAAAGCAGTAAATAATTAAAAACTAATATTAATTGTGCAATAAGTAACTGTCAATTCTCAATTCTGTGAGATTTCGAAATATTTTGTTAATTTGATTAAAATTAATGTGGAATTTAATTTTCATTCTAAAAGAAATACAATGAAATTTATTAAATTCTATTATTTGTACGTCTAATTAATTAATAATAATAATAATAATAATAATAACAAAAAATTTTCTACATATTTTGTCCATTTAATTAATATTTAAAAGAAAACCGAATTTTTTAAAAATATATTACAATTTACTTACATCTTTTTAAACATAATGAACATAACCTCAAAATTTTTAATAATATAAATTTCTATTTTACCGATTTTACTTGAATACAAAATGATTCTAAAAGATTTATGAATATAATTAAAATAGGTTTTTTTTTAATGTTAGGGTCATTTTTTCTTAACGGAAAAACTTTACATAAATAATGTATTAGGTTTTTTTAAAGGATACAAAATTTATTTTCTCAATTTTACATAATTATATTTTTACTTATAATTACTTTTGTACGAAAGGGCATGTCCCGTTAATAAATGAAATTAAATTAAATTAAATAATTATATATAGTTAAAATGAAACATAATCTTAAAATTTATGTTTAATCTATATATTAATTTTTATAATTTTCCAATTTTGTAATTAAATAATAATAATAATAATAATAATAATAATAAAAATAATAGTAATAATAGTAATAATAATAATAATAATATAATTTTGTAAATAAATAACATCCTTTTTGAAATCTTTTTAAGTTTTTTCTATAACTAAATTATGATTGTTGAATTCATTTTTTTAGTCCTTGAGAAGGAAAATAATAAGAAAATAAAACAAAAAGCGAATAATAATTATTATTATTTATATTATTATTATTATTTATATTATTGTTATTATTCATATTATTATTATTATTAGTAATTGAAAACTATTAATAGTGGACAAAGACAAAGTCTATTTCTTGACTTGACATAAAAAGCCGAAAATTTTTTTCTTGCCCTAAAAAATGAAAGGAAAGAGCAGGGAAAAAAATTTTCTGAAAACATGCCTAATTTTACAATTTTTCATAAATTCACCAATGCACCGATTTTTTTTTTTTACATTTAAAAATTTTATTAATTACGAAAAATTAGAATAATTTTTTTCTTAATTATTTCTTCTGCTTTATTTTTGGCTTCTTATATATATAGAGATTTTTTTTAATGCTTCTCAATGTAAAGAATTATTTTTTTTTTATAATATCTATAATCACATCGTTTTGTTAACTAAAAGCTTATAGCTTGGTTGCTTGTATTCAAATATTTAGCTTTTTGTTAGAAATAATTTATTTAATTCGATTATTATAAGCTAATAATATATCTATGGTATAAAGAAAATGGTTTTCTTAAATATTTTCAAGTCTTACCCCAAATACTTTTATTATTATGAATAAAAAGATAAATAGAAAAATATATTTGAGACAGGAAAATTGATTTTTAATTAAGTATATTGTAAATACAAATGAATAATTAAATTTTATACGTTAGGAATAGTTTTTTGTTAACCTAACCTAAAAAAAATAAAACAGTTACCGATCGAGTACTCTGTAGGTAATACTATAAAGTACTCAGTCGGTAATTTGTAATAGGTTAATTGGAATTATTTTCATTGGTAAAATCAATGAGAATAATAAATTTTTTTGACATTTTGAAAATATGTCCAATTTTTTTATTCTATTTCTAATAGTTCATTTTGTATTTTTTTTTTTTTTTACTTCTGTGAATTAACTATACACATAGCAAACATTAGTTAGAGCAGTGGTAGACATTTAATTATTTTTCATGTAGAGGTGCAATATTCAAAATAATTCAGTGGAAAATTCCCCGACACTGCGCGAGTATTAATCGACAAGTTTGGAGCAATATTGAACTTGGTAGTTCAATATTGACCCAAACCTGCGCCTATCGTCAATTTCCCATTGGCAAAATTCTGAAAATAAACCAGATGTTGTAGTTCAATGAAAAAAAAACAAACAAAAAAAATTCAAATACCCTAATTCAATTATCTTTTTTTCAGAGAATGGAAGAATTTTTTGGGGTAAGACATAAAAAAAAAATATAAGATTTGAAAAATCGTGATTTTCAAAGTGAGCATGATTTTTATTGTTTGTGTTTGCGTATTTCTGTTTTTTGACTACAAAAACAAAAATTATAATTTTAAACAAATATATTGTGCATGAAAACAATTGTTGGTTTTCTGAAAAAAAAATGCTTGTCATTTTTTCGGACGCAGCATCCGAAGGAGAAGATCGATATCCAACTGCAGGTAAAAAGAAAAATAGAAAGGAATAAATTATTATTCAAAAATAAAAACTAAAAAAAAAGAAAGGAGGAAAAATACCAGTCTCTAATAGCGTCTGTCTCTAACATAAACTTGAAAAGGACGACTCAGTAATTTCCAAGTTATGCTTCAGGCGACTTCTTTAACAATATTTCATCTTTGACTAAACGTTTCAAAAGGGGTTTAATCAGCTACCTGTCTTGGAGCATAACTACGCTAACGATCTCGTATTATAGCGATGTCGAGTTAAACCAAGTTCTCTCTCTCTCCCTCTCTTATTTTTTTTTTCTCTCGACCTCTTATCAAATTTGCCAGTAAGACCGACTTTCTTTTCAACAAATTGCTGATTCACGATCGGAGAAAAATTAGCTGCTAAGTACTTTTTAAAATAGCCGATAAAGAAATAGCTAAGTGAGCGGAAAATAAATTCCTATTTTTTTTTTTTTTGTTAAATATCATATAATCTCTTGATTAAAATTCAATCAATGGAGTCAAATTCAAATCATAATTTTAAAAATTCTAAATTATTATTAAATAAAATGAATTATTGGAGACTTTTACTTATTTATATTTATTTTTTTGTTTAAATAATTGAAAATTATTTCTGTAGAAATAAATATGATTGGAGGTCGGTGACTAAGAAACAGGCTCTCTTATTCTCGTCTCCCTACTTTTTAACTTTACGTCACACGATAACTTTACTTTAGCCCCTTTAGCGGAATTTAATAAAAAGAAAAGATTTTCTTTCACTTAGATCACAGGAAAAAAAATTTGTTCGTTAATAAAACACCTACTGTTTCTAAACTTTTATGTTTAAAAAAGAATTTACTTAAAGTTTAAAAAAAAAAAAAATATTCTTAGTGACAATAAAACTTCTTTGCATACAAATAAAAATGTAAATTTTTTGTCTTGAAGTTGCCCTACAGTATATACCCTTTTAAAAGATGATATTTTCGTAGAATCAACGTTCTGATACAATATTTAAACATTGATTTAATTTTCAATTTAATACTGATTTAACTGTGATTTAACTTTGAGTTAATTTTGATTCAATATTAATTAAACTATTATTTTATAATAACAGTGATTCAATATTATATATGGATTTAATGTTAATTTAATTATGACTACGTATTAATTTAATATTGATTTAATTTTTTCTTAATCTTTATTTAATGTTAATTTAACTTGACTTAACTACTCTCTAAATCTGAATTAGTAAAAATGATTACTAATTTGAATTAGTGACTCACTTTTTGCTTCTGAATTTGTAAAATTTAACTAATTCTAAAGGAAAAAGTGAGTCACTGATTTGAATTAGTAAACATTTTTACTAATTCACATTTAGAGAGTAGAAGTTAAAAATTGATTTAACATTGATTTAACATTGATTGAACATTGATTGAACATTGATTGAACATTGCTTTAACATTGATTTAACATTGATACATATTAATTTACAATGATTTAAACTGTTATTTAATGATAATTTAACATTCATTCAATTTTGATTTGAAATTAATGCAACTGCATTTTAAAATTAATTTAACTTCGATTTAACATTGATTTAAGTTTGATTGAACGTTGATTTAACATTGATTTAACTTTGAGTTAATATTGATTTAATTTTGAGTTAACTTGGAATTAAAATTAAGTTAACATTGATTTAACATTGAATTAATATTGATTTAACTATGATACATATTAATTTACAATGATTTAAACTGTTATTTAATGATAATTTAACATTCATTCAATTATGATTTAAAATTAATGCAACTGCATTTTAAAATTAATTTAACTTCGATTTAACATTGAGTTAAGATTGAATTAACTTTAATTTAACATTGATTGAACATTGATTGAACATTAATTAAACATTGATTGAACATTGATTGAACATTGATTAAACATTGAGTTAACATTGATTTAACATTGATTTAACATTGATTTAACATTGATTTAACATTGATTTAACATTGATTTAACATTGATTTAACATTGATTTAACATTGATTTAACATTGATTTAACATTGATTTAACATTGATTTAACATTGATTTAACATTGATTTAACATTGATTTAACATTGATTTAACATTGATTTAACATTGATTTAACATTGATTTAACATTGATTTAACATTGATTTAACATTGATTTAACATTGATTTAACATTGATTTAACATTGATTTAACATTGATTTAACATTGATTTAACATTGATTTAACATTGATTTAACATTGATTTAACATTGATACATATTAATTTACAATGATTAAAACTATTATTTAATGATAATTTAACATTCATTCAATTTTGATTTAAAATTAATGCATCTGCATTTTAAAATTAATTTAACTTCGATTTAACATTGATTTAAGTTTGATTGAACATTGATTTAACATTGATTTAACTTTGAGTTAATATTGATTTAATTTTGAGTTAACTTGGAATTAAAATTAAGTTAACATTAAGTTAACATTGATTTAACATTGATTTAACATTGAATTAATATTGATTTAACTATGATACATATTAATTTAAAATGATTTAAACTGTTATTTAATGATAATTTAACATTCATTCATTTATGATTTAAAATTAATGCAACTGCATTTCAAAATTAATTTAACTTCGATTTAACATTGAGTTAAGTTTGAATTAACTTTGATTGAACATTGATTGAACATTGATTGAACATTGATTGAACATTGATTGAACATTGATTAAACATTGAGTTAACATTGATTTAACATTGATTTAACACTGATTTTACATTGATTTAACATTGAATTAATATTGATTTAACTATGATACATATTAATTTACAATGATTTAAACTGTTATTTAATGATAATTTAACATTCATTCAATTATGATTTAAAATTAATGCAACTGCATTTTAAAATTAATTTAACTTCGATTTAACATTGAGTTAAGATTGAATTAACTTTAATTTAACATTGATTGAACATTGATTGAACATTAATTAAACATTGATTGAACATTGATTGAACATTGATTAAACATTGAGTTAACATTGATTTAACATTGATTTAACATTGATTTAACATTGATTTAACATTGATTTAACATTGATTTAACATTGATTTAACATTGATTTAACATTGATTTAACATTGATTTAACATTGATTTAACATTGATTTAACATTGATTTAACATTGATTTAACATTGATTTAACATTGATTTAACATTGATTTAACATTGATTTAACATTGATTTAACATTGATTTAACATTGATTTAACATTGATTTAACATTGATTTAACATTGATTTAACATTGATTTAACATTGATTTAACATTGATACATATTAATTTACAATGATTAAAACTATTATTTAATGATAATTTAACATTCATTCAATTTTGATTTAAAATTAATGCAACTGCATTTTAAAATTAATTTAACTTCGATTTAACATTGATTTAAGTTTGATTGAACATTGATTTAACATTGATTTAACTTTGAGTTAATATTGATTTAATTTTGAGTTAACTTGGAATTAAAATTAAGTTAACATTAAGTTAACATTGATTTAACATTGATTTAACATTGAATTAATATTGATTTAACTATGATACATATTAATTTAAAATGATTTAAACTGTTATTTAATGATAATTTAACATTCATTCATTTATGATTTAAAATTAATGCAACTGCATTTCAAAATTAATTTAACTTCGATTTAACATTGAGTTAAGTTTGAATTAACTTTGATTGAACATTGATTGAACATTGATTGAACATTGATTGAACATTGATTAAACATTGAGTTAACATTGATTTAACATTGATTTAACATTGATTTAACACTGATTTTACATTGATTTAACATTGATTTAACATTGATACATATTAATTTACAATGATTAAAACTATTATTTAATGATAATTTAACATTCATTCAATTTTGATTTAAAATTAATGCAACTGCATTTTAAAATTAATTTAACTTCGATTTAACATTGATTTAAGTTTGATTGAACATTGATTTAACATTGATTTAACTTTGAGTTAATATTGATTTAATTTTGAGTTAACTTGGAATTAAAATTAAGTTAACATTAAGTTAACATTGATTTAACATTGATTTAACATTGAATTAATATTGATTTAACTATGATACATATTAATTTAAAATGATTTAAACTGTTATTTAATGATAATTTAACATTCATTCATTTATGATTTAAAATTAATGCAACTGCATTTCAAAATTAATTTAACTTCGATTTAACATTGAGTTAAGTTTGAATTAACTTTGATTGAACATTGATTGAACATTGATTGAACATTGATTGAACATTGATTAAACATTGAGTTAACATTGATTTAACATTGATTTAACACTGATTTTACATTGATTTAACATTGAATTAATATTGATTTAACTATGATACATATTAATTTACAATGATTTAAACTGTTATTTAATGATAATTTAACATTCATTCAATTTTGATTTAAAATTAATGCAACTGCATTTTAAAATTAATTTAACTTCGATTTAACATTGAGTTAAGTTTGAATTAACTTTGATTTAATATTGATTTAACTTTGAGTTAATATTGATTTAATTTTGAGTTAACTTGGAATTAAAATTGAGTTAACATTGAGTTAACATTGATTGAACATTGACTTAACATTGATTGAACATTGAGTTAACATTGATTGAACATTGACTTAACATTGATTGAACATTGATAGAACATTGATTGAACATTGATTTAACATTGATTTAACATTGATTTAACATTGATTTAAAATTGAATTAACATTGATTTAACCGTTATTAAATATTAATCTTAATGTAAAATTCTAATTGAAAATTAACTTTGTGAATACTAAAATAAAGATTGTAATATTTATTCAATTATTGTAAAAATATTTTGCAAATTAAAAACAAAGCAATAAAATAAAATTCGAAAATGTGATTTGAAAAGAGATAGTTAT